ATAATAAGAACTGCTATCATTGAAAAAAATAACTCTGCTTGTATTTAAATGCACTATCTGTCAGACCATCTGAGTTTTAATACTTCAAGTAGTAAAACAAAGAAAAGAAGATTGGCGCCATTACTTTCATCTTTTTCATCTAATTTGTGCCAAGATGGTAAAGAAAAAGATGCTAAAGCTGTTTACAAATTATCAGAATACATGAGTTTTGGTTTAAAAAACAAATTAAACCAAAACTTTTATAATAATTTATGCAATAAAAGTTTTTAAGCTTTAGGTTCTTTTTATATGGAACATGTAGTAGTTTCATGAAATATAAAATAGAGCCTTCGATATAAAATAATTTTCAATCAGATTGCCACATTGAAACTAGTCTAGTTTATAACTTTGATGTTTTAAGAAACGTAAGCTATACAAAAACTGTTGCTAGCTACTTCAGGTGCCACTATCAATCAAATAAAAAATTTATAGTATTATTACATTTGTTGAATTACAATACTCAATTTAATAATTATGGGAATAATAATGTTATGGGAGTCCGATAAAGTTATTACGTTTGTCCAACTTATAATTATTATGGTTATAAAAAAATGTGATTGCTAAGCAATTTAGGTATCCATAACAACCCAAAATTCACAATTAAAAATCACAATCCTAATAGTAGTAAACAGAAAAAAATATTTATTAGGATACTTAAGTATAACTATTCTTTATTAGAGAATATTAAATTACATGAACTTAATAGTTATTGTATTATAAGTTTAGCTATTTAAGTTTACAACTATTATTGTTGGAGTAAAAACAAAGTACGTTTATTTAATTTTCTAATTTAGTTATAAATATATTTTCATAAATATGTCCTGCATAAGTGCTAATGGAGTCTCTCAAAGAGAAATGTAAACATTTATAGACCACCATGTTCAAAAGAATCGAGGGAACTTCTGGTTTCAGCTGCTCCGCAAGGATTAAGAAACAAAAAGCTTGTTTAATTTCAAGACTATTCCAGACGTTCGGCACATTCTTGGCTTTTATTACCATTTAGTTGACACACACCCTGCACCACTATCAAAAGTTATTATATAAATAATAGTGAAGAATTTAAAGCAGCTGGAATATGAAGTTTAGCTTACCATGAGTAACCAGAGCTGGCATTACAAAAAAATTAAATAAACTTGTGGTTGAATATAAAACATGAATTGAAAATCTACTTTGGATTTTCTTTACTGTTTTACATATTTTTGACAAAAAAAAAAAAGGAAGAGCGAAGAACAAATATTTTATCATCATCAAATGGCTAATAGAAAGAGCTGCGTATCCACCATTCAAAATATTGTTGAGCATCGTGTTCATCACTTTTTTTGCTGATATAATAATAACAGACTATTGGTACTAAAAAACCTGGATCTTGAAAATCTAAACCAATTATATACAGAATTAAACTCACAAAATGATGATGACTCTGTTGGTTTTGAACCTTTGTTCAAACCACCCAAAAAGAAACTTAAATCAAAAGTGAGTAATAGTACTTCTCAAAATAAAAATTTTTGTAGATATATTTACTTTTTTTGTAGATATATTTACTTTTTTTAATTTAAGGTAAGAAGCTGGAATCTCTACCCACAAAGGCAAGAGTAACTCGCTTATTAAGTTACTTCCATGATGATAATCCCACTCCATATCAATCTGCTATTTTTAGAGCTGGTAAAAAATTGCAAGTCATAACTCTTTTTAAACTTAAAGCAGCTTTGTCAATTCAGACATCCTTTATCTTACATTTCGATGGGAGAGCGCATGCCCTTTATGTATTGCCCTTCAATCAGAGAGATTATTATTTTGGTACATTGGCCTTAAAACACTACATACTTGTGGAACTTCTAAAAATCTAGCAGCTATGATAAAGGAAACGTTGTTAGAGTATAAAGCTGTCGACGAAATATCCCTTAACGTATGCGACACCTCCTCTGTCAATTATGGTTCATAAAGTTAATATTATTAATTATCTATAAATATGAACGCATGAATAAAAAATAATAATAATGATGATGCAATAAATAATTACATTTTGTTTTAGGTGGAGTTTATGATGATTCTGGTGGAACTATAGGTATTTTACGAACTGGATTATTATAGGTATTTTCATATAATAATAAAAGATAATTATAATAATAAAAGATAATTATAATATTAAAAATATATAAATATAAATAATAATAAAATACAAATAATAGTAAAAGATAATTAAAGGTATTTTACGAACTATTTAACAGACATGATCCGTATTATGGGTGTAATGTTCACATTTTAGACCTTGTTTTAAGAAAAATGGTAATTTTCTATTTAGCTACACCATCAAAACTAAAAGATAAGTACTCATAATTAAAAGAATTATATAATGTCCTTCATAAAACGCCTCATCCTCCTCCTACTGTTAAAACTTAGAGAGATAACTATAGATTATTGGTTAGATTTATTTTACTAAATTTTTTCTTTTTCAACATCAATGATATGTATGCATTATATATCCATATAGTGTATGTTTTTCTTCAGGTTTTGCATTGCCTTCAGGCATTACTTGGATAAGAATATTTCCCCCAAACAGCAGCTACCAACTAAATTGACATGTTCTCACTCAATTTAAATCCTTTGTGTCGCTGTGGCACAGTGGTTAGAGCGCTTGCTTTATAAGCAGGAGATCCAGGTTCGAAACGAGTTCTGCACATATTTTCACGGTAAGGAAGGAGGCGTGAGCTTCCTGGTTAAGTGCACTTTTGTGGTGCTCTGTGACAAGACTGTTATGTCTTCTTGGGGAACCTAAATAAAAAAAATAAAAAAATAAATTTTTTTTTACTGGGCTACTTTCTAATCCTCGAAAAAAAGGCAATCACTGATAGAAATAGCTAACTTTATTAGCTGTTCTTGGTCACAAGCATGGTTTTAAATGAGGGAGGAACCCAATTGGATGAACGGGAAAGAGGCCAAATCAATCTGCATTACAGCCCAAGAAGCTTTGACCACACATTAAAAATGTGCATAGAACGAATGAGATTGTTGAGAGAAGACTCCGAACTCTTGAAATCCGAGCTTACCGGGATAAGTCTGATGATGATTTTGAGAAACTTTTTTAACTGAAATGTTTGTTAAAGTGTCTAATCAATAATCTAACTTTTTAAACTTTGTTTTATTATATTTATAGTTTGTATGGTACAAAAAAAAAAAAAAATAATAAAAAAAAAAAAAAAATTAGAATTTTTATCTATAAAGTAACTTTATTAAAATTTTAAAAAATTTTACTATTTTTTATTAAATTGTGTTAAACATAATTTTTCATGTTTTAGAAATATTTTCAATTGGTATTTAAAAAAAAGTTAATTAAACATCACCTTAACCAGGGGCGATATAGTTTGCTTGTATATTGGGTGCGCCCTATGGAATTAACATATAGGGTGTAACTAAAACCATAAAATAACATAATTTCATATGATATCGAAAATGGTAAATATAATGAAATATGTAAAAAATCACTTTTTTATATTTGATCTACTTTTATGGTAAAACTTTTCCGGAATAATATAAATAGCCATTTTTTTGTTTTTTATATTTGACCTTGAATAACTTTTTTTTCTGAGATCGGTAGGGACTTTTATTATTTTATTTGTAACAATGTTCCCAAGGTCTGTACCAACTTTCAGATCTATGCGAATTGTTATAAATTAAAATGTCTATTTTGATCGGACTATGTTTTCAAAAACGAAATAGATAAGGCAATATTTGTCATAGTTTTTGTTAAAAATAGATATCAATATAAAGAGCAACACGAAACAAGTAAGTTTATTTATTGGACTTTGACAGCAAGGCGCTTAAGAATAACGCATACCTACTACTTCTACTCTTTTTAAACAGAAAATATTTTACTAATCTAAAAGGCACTGTTCAAAAATTGTTGAGTTAAAAAAATTTGCATCATCTTTATACAATGCTGGATCCATACAATTTTAGGTTTTGTTGGATTAGACTTTCAACTTAATACATAAATACGAACTGGCATAAGTCCGAAGCGTTGCAAAAACTTGCATAAGTACGAACTGGCTAATGTGCGAATTGGCATAAGTGTGCCAAAAGATTTAGCAAACATTAGCTTAAGTGCGAAGCAGTTACAAAAACTGTTATAAGTCCGAATAGGCATAGGTGCGAATTGGCATAAGTGCGCCGAATAAATTGGCATAAGTGCGAAGCAGTTACAGAAACTGGCGTAAGTGCGAATTAGCATAAGTACGCCGAATAAATTTGCAAACATTGGCATAAGTGCGAAGCAGTTACAAAAACTGGCATAAGTGCGCCGAATAAAACTGCAAATATTGGCATAAGTTCAAATTGGTATTTTGCACTTAAGCCTATGTTTGTAAATTTATTCGGCGTGCTTATGCCTATTTGTGTAATTGCTTCGAACTTATGCCAATGTTTGCAAACTCTTTTTGCGCACTTATACTAATTCACACTTATGTCAGTTTGCACTTGTGACAGTTTTTGCAACTGCTTCGCACTTATTCAGTCGCCCCCAACTTGGATATGAAAATCTGAATAATTAATAATGAATTTTTTAAAAGTGCAACTAGATTTAAATCCATAGTTTCATAACTTTTTTGAAGATAAATTATACTAATAATCATTAAAACGATTCAAGTTTCAAATTGCCTTTTATTTTATTAAGCATTGATTATTGATAACTTTGCATTTATGACGAAATTGTGACCAGTGTCTAACAAATAATTGAGCAGTATTTAAAATTGTTTACTATTACTTAGATTTAACTAAATGTCACAATAATCACAAAAATTTCAACTTAACACAATAAAGCATTTAATTCTGTAAGAACCATAATCAATATCAGCGTTTCATCCTCGTTCTCATTTAAAACAATCAGTTTTAACATTATTAGTTCAATGTAAGTCTTGTCTCCGAGTATGACAAACTTATTAATAAAAAGTAAAAAAAACTTGAGATTTATATATTGAGTAGATTATATAATAAATGATTTATACAAATTTTACAAAAATAATTCACTAAGGTATTTACAATAATAAAAGAAATAAATCTACTCAATTACTTGGATGATAAATAATCAAATGAATGCAAATAGGTGAGGCATAAAAGAGAATAAAAAAGATAAAAAATTATCCAATGCCATCATCAACATAAATGTCATCTAATCTGAGTCATAGAAAGAATACTTTCTGATGGTGATGGTTTTGATTTTTTATTTACTCCTGTATTTGATGTTTGAAAGCAACTCCACAGTCTTAAAGTCTCATCACCAGCTGCAGACATGACTTTTGTATGATCAGGAGACATAGTAAGTTGCAAAATGCGACTACTATGACCAAGGAGGTTTATTTGTCGCCTCATGTTTGGGTATTCCCATATAGTAAGCTGATTATTTGGATGACCATGCCCACTAATTAATTCTCTATATTCTTCGTTCCATAAGATAGAAGAAACCTATTTAAAAATATATTAACATATATTTTTTAAACTTTTTTGTAAAGAAATTTTATTATGTATCATTATTGTATAATCTTAGAGAAACTACTAACATTAAGTTTACCTGGGATTCAGTCTCAACTGTATTTAGGCAACTTCCAGAGTTAATATTCCAAAACCGGATGCATTTATCTGCAGCACCACCTCCTGAAGCTAAGATCTGTTGTTGCCAAGGACACCAAGAAACGGCCTATTGAGACAGAATATAAAGATAACTCATAGTTTAATTTGCAGTGTTATTTTTTTTAAATCAAAAAATAAAAAAATTTTATTTCATGCATTGTATATGAAACAGTATTATATAAAAGTTATATATGGTTGCACATGTATCTAACTTTTTAAAGATTAAAATTAAGAAAATATTTTGAAGACAAATAAAAATATTACTTTTACTGCAGCTTGATGTTGATTAAAACGATGCAGAGGTTCAGGTCTACCTACAGCATTAAAATCCCATACCAAAAGCATATTACTATTACATCCACTGGCTAAATATCTTCCATTTTGTGACCATTGCAGCCCACAAACTTCTTGTTGATGAGAAAAGTAGGAACTAATATGGTGTTCGGCAATTCGAACATCGTGATTATATATTGAGCCACTTCTACAACCACTAAAAGAAAGAAGTATTAAACAATAAATTATATGATCTTTGATTCAAAATTTTATACTATTTGACTTATGTATAAAATGTCTTTTTAAATATTAGGAGTAATCAATAAATAGAAGCATACAAAAGTCCAATCAAAAGTTATAGAAAAATTATTTTGCTTATATACTTTTTTTTTAGTTTTTATGAATTTATTTTTCAACTTTGAATTTTTACTAATCCTGGGTTAAAACATATTACAAAAAATTTAAATTATACTAAAATATTTATTTTATTTTTTAATCAAGCAAGTTTCAAATAATTGTGTATAAATTAAAAAACAATTAAATATAAACAGATATCAGTTTTTCTTTGAAGTATGACTTTACTGGATTTGGACAAGGAAACACCAACTTAACTAAGCTGGTCAAAGCAGTATTTGCAGCATTTCAAGATATGCAATTGGCAATAAAATTATTATGAGAAAGTTATTGCACAAGAAAATAAAATAAATGAACTGAAAATTCAAGTAGAAAAAAACCAGAACAAATTGGAATCTAAAACTTTCAGTGATGCTCTCATTGGTAAGTCTACTGAAAGCAAACAACAACGTCAGCAGATATGTTCACTAATTTCAACTGTAAATAAACACACCCAATCAAGAGAATTAAATGTCATTGTTATTGGAATCTTAGAAAATAACACAGTTGAGGATAGTAAACAAGTGATGGATTTTTTTGGAGCTGTTGGATTAGAAAATGTTGAAATTAAGCATATTCGAAGACTAAAATCAAGCAAACTAAAAGCAACGTCAAATAACTCTAAACACCTAAATAATTCTAAATTCTAAAAAAAAAAAAAAATTCAAATAATTCTAAACACCTGCAGACATCATACCATTAAGCAATATGAGAAAGTTTTTGTTCATGAAGATAGAACTCCTGCTGAGCAGGCTGATTTTAATGCCAAACGATCACAAATAGTCAAACAAAATCAAGAACTTAAAGCTGCAGGGCTGCTAGATCAGCCATTTCGGAACGTCATCCATCGCCGCACTGGTAAAATTGTCTGCATCGACGTTATTGAATCAACCAGAAGTAAACAGTATGTTTTTAAATCAGCAACAATTGCACTCAACGAAGTAACATCAATAGTAGCAATATTGAAGGAAACAGTACATCAGCTACCATCACAATTTCATCTACCACACCTAACAACCTCAAAACCTGAGATACACCTGAAAAGTAATAATAAAAGAATCCGCCCAATAAGATTGAAATTAAAGTCAAAACCCAACCTCTCACAGTTATCTTCAAAACCATCAACTTCATCTTCATTAATATCAGGACAACTATGTTTCTGGGCAAACAACCCATGTTCATTAAACAATTTAAAAAGAGGGGAACTTATAGCTAGAATTTCATCCAAACCAATGCATGAAAAACCTCATATAATTTTTCTTGCGGAAACATGGTACAATAATACATCTGACACATTTGTAAAAGGATATGAACTGCATCGAGCAGACAGAGAGAGCAGAGGAGGAGGTGTTGCAATATACACAAGAAATGATATAATTACGACAGAAGTTAGAAATAAGCAACTTAATTCTAAAGCTATTAAGCAAGTATGGTGTATAATCAAATTTGATGGCGAATCATTGTTACTAGGTTGTATATATAGACCTCGTGACATTAATGACATTGTCCTTACTCAAACAATTGAATCAATTGCAGCGGCCAAACAGGCCATGTTAACTTATAACTGCTCCTGTATGTTATTATATGGTGATTTTAATTTAAGCCACACATGGTATGAGTCTATTGAAATAAATGGTAAAGTTGCAACTGTTGGACATGTGATAGATGAATGCCCCAGAGATTTGAGATTCCAATCTTGTTTAGAAGATAATAACTTAACACAGCTAATAACTTTTCCAACCTACCGTCATTCCAATCTTGTTGAACCGCCATTAACACTTGACCTAATTATTAGTGATGACCCAGATAGGTTCATAAAAGTCTCAGAAGATGACCCATTGGGGTTTACAAAAACAGGTCAATCACACTGTGTTATTGCTGGTATTTTGGCTGTTTATTTAAAAGAAACAGCACCAAAACTCTCACGTCCTCATCTTATCTGGAATCGAGCCGACTACGACGCAACATCAACAAAAATAGCTTCAAACAACTGGCACACCATGTTTGAAGGTTATACAGCCAACGATAATTTTTCCTTACTCGTCAATATACACAAAAAATACATCAAAGAACACACACCATCAACTTCAGTTCCACCAAAAATAAAAAACGCACTGCGCGTCACACCAGAGGCAAAAGCAGCAGCAAAAGAAAAACATACGTTATGGCTTAAATACATTGCTACAGGCTGCCATACTCATGAAAATTTACGAAATGCACATAAAGTTGTATGCAAAAATGTTAAAAAAGTTGTTAAAGAAGCCATACTTTCATATGAAGATGATTTAGTTTATGCTTCTAAGTCTAACCCAAAATGCCTACACTTACATATTTGCAGCAAACAACGAGTTCATGAACAAATTCGCAGCCTACAAACAATGAACAACTCAACCACTACAAAAAAAGACAATTTTGCGCATTACTAAATAATTATTTCCAGACAATGTTTGCAGTCAAACAAGAAGGTTCTATGCCATATTTTAATCTACGCACACAAACCATATGTCAGTTTGATGAAGATAGCATTCATGAGCGTGAAGTAGAAAAAAAACTAAAAGGGTTATCTGAAAATAAGGACATGGGTTATGACAAAATACACCCACGCGTTCTTAAAAATTGTGCAACATCTTTTGCAATCCCAATCACAATAATCTACAAGAAATCTATATCCACAGGTGATGTTCCAGATTTGTGGAAAAAATCTAATACTACACCAATTTTTAAAAAAGGAAGTAAACTTCAACCATCAAATTATAGACCAATATCACTAACATCCATAGTTTGCAAAGTCATGGAAAGTCTCATACATGATTGTATAATGAAGTTTTGCACAAAACATAATCTTTTATCCAAAGCTCAACATGGTTTTGTTCCTAAACGAGGGTGTGTCACAAATCTTCTCGAAGCACGTGACATACTTACACAAAGCATGTACCTAGGGTTTCCTGCAGATGTAATTTATACAGACTTTGCCAAAGCATTTGACAAAGTTCCACACAGGCGCCTGTTACACAAACTACGAGTCTATGGGATTGGTGAAACCCTGCTTAAATGGGTTAAAAATTGGGTAACTAGTCGGCAACAGAGAGTAGTATTAGACGGAATAACATCTGAGTGGGTCCCCATGACTAGTGGTGTGCCACAGGGCTCAGTCCTTGGTCCACTACTATTCGTCTTATTTATTAATGATTTGCCTGACACCATTGTACACCACACAAAACTTTATGCTGATGATGGTAAAATTATCGGAGTCATCAAATCTCTGCAAGATGCCAACCTTCTTCAAGCTGACATAGATAAAATAGTTGACTGGTCGCACAAGTGGTTAATGCCTTTTAACATCAATAAATGCAGAGTTATGCATGTTGGACGCACTAACAAGTCAACACATTCATACACAATGACACAGCTAGATGGAACTTGTTGTACACTGGAAGAAACAATAGTTGAACGAGACCTTAGGGTTATTGTTTCCAATGACTTAAAGGTCAAAACTCAAGTTGAAACAGCAGTCTCAATTGCGAATCAAATGTTCAATTGTCTCCGAAAAGCTTTTTGTAGCCGCAGACTAGTTTTATGGAAAACACTGTACCTTGCATACATTCGTCCACATCTAGATTTTGCAGTACAGGTTTGGTCTCCTCACCTAAAAAAAGATATTGTGATGATGGAGAAAGTGCAAAGACGTGTTACAAAAACAATATCTGAGATAAAACATTTACCATATGAGGAAAGATTACAAAAGCTGAAACTAACATCGCTTGAGGATCGCAGGAAACGAGGTGACCTAATCCAGCAGTTTAAATTTACTCAACAGATTGACAAAGTCAACTTTTATTTCCCTCTAACTCTAATAAATTCAAAAACAAGTTACAATCTCCGTGGACACAATCAGCGATTAATGCCTCAACCAGTCAAAGGTTGCATTGAACAAGAAAACTTTTTTACAAATAGAGTAACAAAACGCTCTTTCAACGCAAGCAGTTGATTCACCATCAGTACATTTCTTTAAAATTTTTTTATTGTAAACCTCTTGATCAACTGCATTTCGCAGCTTAACTGGGTCAACATAAGAGAACCTGATTTAGCTCTTCTTCATTAGTATAAATTACATTTACACTACAAGATATACATAAAAGTGTTTTTGTTATTCTTCAATAAACATGATAGGACATAGGCTATTTTAATGCACACTTGTATTTATATGGAATTATTTTTACGAATTTTAAAATAAATAAATAAAAATAAAATGAAAAAATTAACTTGGTAAAAGAGTTGGGCAAATGATTTATTAATGATAAGTTTTGAAAACTAACCCAAACTTCAAAAGAAGTCAAATTTATAACTCTAAAAACTAATGTCAAATATTTCAATAGATACCTTCATTAAATCTAGCTTAAAACTAGCTCACCTTGTTAAAATATGACTTCTCCATGAAAGTACGCCAATACGAGAAGAATGAGCTACCATTTGCCGTATCCGCTTTTTATGATTTATATCCCATATCTAAAATGGATAACAAATAAATTTGTTAAGATCGTATCATTTTAAAATCATTAAAAAATCAAATATAAATTGCACCTGTATGGCACCAGAAGCTGTTCCTATGGCAATAGTTGGACCTTCTTCTACCCATTGAACTGATGAAACATAATCTCCTGACTCATTTAACTGGCATAGATGAGAAATGTCTCCAGTAAGGGGAGTCCATATGTAGACCGATTGTTCAAGTGCTACAGCTACTAAATCAATACTAGTACTCCAATGTAACAAATTTAGATCTAAATAACACAAAAATATAACAGCTAAAAATACAAAAAATATAAAGGTCATGCTTATTAAAGATCTAATAAGATTTACATATTGCTATACAAGGTAGTAGTTGAAACATATCAAAATATTGGGGCTAAATTGGAGACAAATTTTCTGTATTCATATGATTTATAGCAAACAATATTTATTGATTTTTCAACTCATGAATATAAACTGAACAAAAACAAAAAAAAAAACAAAAAAAAAACTAACAGTAGTCATTTAAATAATTTGGAGCATCTAGTATTCGTTCAGCAGACTGTGGAATATATCTCAACTTTTTCCTTTTAGAAGAGTTTACAGAAGAACATGTGCTTACTAAAAAAATGTATATATATAAATTGATATTTCAGCTTAAAACTACTTTCTTCAACAAAACTATATATTTTTATAAATGAAATATTTGAATTAAAACTGCTATCAAATAAATAAAGGTCAAACTTTATAGTAAATTAAACAATATTTTTGAAAAGAATAAACCTGTTTCCCAGGTTTACTTCTAATTAAAACTTTTGTAAAAAAATAAAACTGCTTGTAAAATCTTATCATCGTTTGTAAAAAAAATGTAATAATATTACTTGAATAAAAACAGTAAAAAAAAATCACAAAAACAGAATAGGATTTCTTGGTTTCACAAAGTGATTCAGTATCTGACTGGATTAACCTCTTAAGTGGCATACCTAAGGATTCATGTATTGGAACACTGCTTTTCAGGTTGGTCTAGTAAGCTGCTATAGAGAAATTTTTTTGACAATACTTAACCACTTGCTATCATCAAAAAACCTTTTGACCTTGAGCAACTGCAAAATGACATCAATAGAGTTTCAAACCACAATGGTTTACAAGCCTTAATGAAGAAAAAGTGTAAGTTTATGTTTTTAAACAAGCATCACCATCTTGCAGCACTTATCGAAAACTTTAATAATTTAATCTTCCTGATAACTGGCAATAAAAATGATGTCAAACACATTCTGGATAAATTTCAGAGCATAACCTTTGTGCTTAAACTCACATTCTACTCTTGGAATTCAAAAATGTACATCTGGAAACACGGGAAAACTGATATAGTACACATCCTTTACTGCACATGTTATACACCTCATTCAGAGCATTGGTCATCATCACCGTTGGAGGTTATTTCATTGCAAAAAAACCTAGAAGCTGACCAAAATTGAGCAAAAAAACTTGCCCCTTGTCTTCGGTCTTTAATAAAAGAAGATTGTTATTTAACTTTTTAAATCTAATTTTGCCATGATGATTTTTTTCCAATATTGCACAATTTATCACAACATTAATCAATTCAAATAAATCAAATCATTATTTGTGCAATCTAAACTTGCTGGGGTTTTGCAAGTATTTGCATAATATATTTAACAGTGTAACAGCTGAGAGAAGTGCTTTACCTCTTAAGTTAAACAATTTTAATCTAACTTTACAAAAATTTGGTATAAATGTGATTCCTTTTTTTATCAAAGAAACTTCAAGTACATCCTTTTTTAAACTTATTTACTTATTAGTTTTATTTAGATAATTGTAGCAGGATTGGTTAATTTCCCCGCTTTGTAGAATTATGTGGTTGATTATTTTTACTTACTTAAAACCTACCTTTACTTGGTGTTTTTTTAACTGGTGAACAAAACTGTAAGATTTTTTTTTCATTAACATCCCCTAGTAATTGGCTGAAATTTTCTGATAAGCTTTGTTTATATTTTCTATTTTCTTGATTTCTGATGCTTTTATCATTAATACTATTTTTTGTGTGTTCTAAATCACTACTGTCATGAAATTTAATTATTCTATGGTGACTTTCCAAAAGATGAGCCTGATTACGCGATGGAATGAATCTATCACTGTCGCAATTAGATGTTTTACACGGAGTTCGTATTTGTGAGCAAGGAGTTTTTTTTCGAGAACTAATTATTGTTTTTTTAGTAGGAGTTTTGAGTAAAAATTCGTTTTTGTACGGTGTTTTCGATACAGCAACAAAGTCACATGCTGAAGAAGGACGTTTTATTTTTGTTCCAGTTTGAGGTGTCTTTTCATTCGTCTTTAATCTTCCAGGAGTAACTGAGCAATTTCGAGTGAAATTGTTTTTGCAGGAAACTCCTAAGAAACCAAGGTACTTTTCAACTTCTTTATCATAACTAGACATTATAAAATATTTGATTTAGTATCATTGATAGTAGTAATACTTTGCAATTGATAATAGTAATACTTTTAACTTTTGTTATTTTTAACGGATATGTAGTTAAAGTGGCGGGTTTTTCTTTTAATAAACTATTATTGGTTGTTGGCAAGCATATGTTTATTCTGTTTTTAATTTCAAAAACAAAAAGCCGTTTAAATACTTTGAGAATGGAACTTATCAACATTGCAAATATGCGTAACATATTTGATCTTACACAGTGATCCCTAAATTTGCGAGTTTCTTGGGCAATATGCGTCTACCACTCGTAAATATTAATTTAAATAATTGTAAGAAGTCAATAATTGAACAAAATTTTTAAATATATTTTTTTATTACGTTGTAGAGAACCTTCTTCTTAATAAGATGATATAAAGTTTTAATTTCTTAAATTACTGAACTTTCGGCCTCGTATTATTACTATTATTATTATTATTGTTATTATTGCTATTACTATTGTTGCTATAATTATTATTATTATTATTATTATTATTATTATTATTATTATCATTATTGTTGTTATTACTATTAATATTATCATTACTTTTCTTAATGAGAAATGAGCATAAATCTCTCGAAAGTGAAGTTTGCTATCAGTAAACTTAAAACGTATTCTTGTATAACTTTTTACGCAAGTCAAGAATCTGTTTTTAAAATGAAATTTGCTATTTTATATAACACTACGGGATTGAATGAAAACGCTAATTATTAACTTGGTAAATATTTATCTTGTGAAACTGAACGTTTCTGAGAAGAATTACTTCAAATGAGTTGTCTAAACCAGTAGTTGCCAACGTGTGGCATACATCCCACAATATGAGATATTTTGAGTGTTCAAGGGGAATTCACTTACTAAAATAAATATACTTATTAAAATGAAATAATAAAAAAATTATACGTTACGGCTCCAACAAATTTCTTACTAACTCAATTTTTGAAATTTTTCGCCGGTACATTTTTAAATATAATTTTTATAATAATATGAAATTAAATATTCTTCCAAATATTGCCGAACCTTCTTTTCGCTTGCACTACTCATGCGTTAAATATTAAAAAAATGCACTCTACTGCTGTCCATGACTACGGCTTAAGTCCGGGTTAAGTCCATCTCGGCCTGCCAGCCTTTAATGTTTTCTGGCCTCTGTGAGTCTTTTAGTATTCGAATTTAACAGCAATTTAAAATAAAATTTTTTTTGTAATTGTTGCGCTATGGTTTCCTAAAGTATTTTTTTTATATTCAAACAAGCATCTTGAGTTATTTATTTATAAAAACACGCTGCGATTAGTATAGGTTTTAAAACACCTTTTGCCTGCATTTTAAGCTTACAAATGCAGATATGATATTTTTAGATCGATGGAGTCTAATTCCCGGTTTTCTATTTGAGCAATAAAAAGATCTGAAAGACGCTCCTGACCTATTAAATATTTTATGAAGATAATATGTAACTTTAAAAATTGGAAAATATACGAGTCTGCTATTAATTAGGATTATTATTGTTCAAGAGATATTTAATAAAGATTTTTTATATTATAAGTATTTTTTTATGTTGGTTATATACCTCAAGTTGAACTATGAAAACTTTTGATCCTTTTCAATGTAGAAAGTGAACGTTCTCCAGAACAATTTTTTGCAGTGGTGATCAAGAAGATTTAAGGGGTTAAGTCAATGTTAAAGACGGGTGATTCAAGATTCTTTTATCTAATTAGTTTTAAACGATCCAGAGCTGAAGTTTTGATCAAGTAATCTCCAAGATATCTATACTGCAGAGATTAACCAAAGACACGGCTTCCTTTTCATATTGCTTAAAATTTGTGCAAACTTGGTGCATATATGGAGACTGATAACGATAGGCGATGAATCCATCTTAATAAGCTGCATATACCGACCAAACGATAATGATATTGGAGTTCTAGAAAAAGTCATCAAATCAATTAATTCATCAAAGCAGAGCTTGTCAACACTAGGCTGTTCGTCAGCTCTAATTTACGGTGATTTCAACTTCAGCCACTCAACATATGAGGTACTTGAAACTGATGGAAGCGCAGCAACAGTTGAACATATACAAAACGAACATGCAACGGACATGAAATTCCAGCAATGTCTAAACGAAAACTTTCTTATGAAAATGGTCACTTTTCACACTCACCAAAGAAATAGAAAAGAAAGACCATCAAGCACACTAGATTTGTTAATCACTGATGAACCTGACCGCATAGATAATCTACATGAAGGCAACTCACTTGGTTACACACCAGCTGGGGAAGCCCACTGCCTACTTATTGGCTCATTTGCTATAAACAACGCTTGTGTTAAAAAAGAACAAAAAAGATTTATCTGGAGCAAGGCTAATTATGAAGCAAACACAATGCTAATCACATCATATGACTTGGTGACAATTTTCAATTCCCATTCAATAAATGACAATTATCAGATGTTCGTTAAAAAAATTAACAAGGCAGTCACCCTTTACATACCTTCAACTAAAACATCGTTCAAGCAACAAAAATAACCATGGAATACGCCAGAAGTTGAAAAAGCAGTTGAAAAGAAAAAACCCTTTGGCGCCAATAACTTGCAGCTGGTCGATTGACTCACATAGAGATTCGAGAAGAACATAAGGCAGTTTGCAAAGAGTTAAGATTGTAAAATCAGCAGTTGCTAAGTATGAAAATCAAATTGCAAACTATGTTTTTGATCCAAAACGGCTTCATAACTTCGAATAAAAACACCATTTCATTCGCTATAGCGAATGAAATGGTGAAGTCACTAGAAAACAACGATGGAAATCTTACAACTGAGAGTCATAAAGTTTCTCATTTACTTAACGAATATTTTCAGTTTGTATTTGTTGTTGAACCGTTACATCAGATGCCAACATTTCAGAACCTAACAGAAACGGAATATGTCCTGGATGAAGCAGAACTAACAACTATATCTGTTCAGAAAAAGCTAGAAGAGCTCATGGAAACAAAGTCAAAAGGCTACGATAACATACACCCGTGTGTTCTTCGACACTGTGCTCCAGTAAATAGCTAAGCCACTAGCTATGATTTTCAAAAAATCCCTGGCTAAAGGCAAAGTCCTTAACTTTTGGAAGTTATCAAACATTACTCCTAATTTTAAAAATGGAAACCGTAGAAAATGCTTGAACTATAGACCAGTTTCTCTCACATCGGTACCCTTTAAAATAATGGAAAGTTTTATATACAAAAGAATCCTGAAATATTGGCTTGAAAAAGGGTTCTATACAAAATCTTAACATGGAGTTCTTCCAAGAAGCGGCTACACAACCAACCTACTAGAGGCATAGGATATTTTAACAAAAGCACTATTTCATAACCATGCTATAAATGTGATTTACACAGATATTGCTAAAGCTTTTGATAAAGTACCTCGTCAACGTCTTCTTTTAAAACTTGATGCATGCGGCTTACATGGAACACTACTGGAGTGAATAACAGACTGGTTAAAAAATCGAAAACAGAGAGTGGTCATCAGCAATAGCAAGTCTGAATGGGCAGATGTTACTAGCGATGTTCCATAAGATTCAGTGTTAGATCCACTTTTATTTCTGATTTATATAAACGACCTTTCACACAACATGGTGCATCATATATAGATCTTCGCAGATGATTGTAAGATTTTAGGGGTAATCAAAGCAGAAGAGGATACAATAAAGCTACAACAAGACATAGATCATGCAGTCGAATGATCTAAAAAGTGGTTTATGTATTTCAATTTAGACAAATGTAAAGTCATGCATGTTGGTCACTCAAATAAATCAATACGCCTTTGCTCAATGCCTGACATATATGGTAATCGAATAGAACTTGCAACAACAATTATAGAACGTGACTTAGGTGTTCTAACATCAAACGACCTCAAAGTTAAACATCAAGTAGAAGCCGCAGCAACTAGAGTAAACTAAGTACGGTTTACTCTAGTTGTAGTGGCAAACTAAAAAAATCTTTTCGCACAAGAGAGCTAATGTTATCGAGGGTATTCAATTACAATTCGTATACTTTTGTACGTTGTAAATACATTCGTATTTACAACATACATTAGACCTCATCTCGACTATGCCATCCAAGTCTGGTCTCCTCACCTAAAAAGTGACATAAAAGCACTTGAATGCATTCAACAGCGAGTAACAAAGGTAATGAGCGAGATAAAACACAAAAGCTATGAGAAAAGAATGACCATACTCAATCTTACCACTCTAGAAGAACGCCGAAAAAGGGGCGACCTCATTCAACAGTATAAAACCGCTAACGAAATAGAAAAAATAGACTTTGTAGTTCCTCAAGTATATGTCTAATCGCTATCAGATTATAATTTGCGTGGACATATTCAGCGACTATCACGGCAAATTGTGAAATCTTGCCAAGAACGAGACAATTATTTTACTAATCGAGTTGTTAACAACTGGAATGGGCTACCAGCAAATGTAGTCAATGCAAGTTTTACAAACATTTTTAAAAGTCGATTTAATACATTTTCAAAGCTAACCAAGATACACTGTGTCCTAAATTACGCCATCATAGTGGTGTCTGATGCTGCACCACTTCATCAAAGTTTACCATTCAAACTTTATTCTTTTATGATGGTTTTTTTTTTAAATGGCTTGTAAATTTTTCGATTTATGAATAAACAAATTCAAATTTAAATTCATAAAATGCTCCAAAGAGTTGTACAGTTCTTCAACCATACCTAAATCAACTTAACGGACTGCAGTATCTTGTTAACTTTGTTGAACTTCTCCATGATTATTTTCCAAATGATTATTAAAAAAGATATCTCATGTTGTTCAATTTTCGTCAAAAGTTCAAATGCCTCCTCTCTCGTATTTACTTTCTGAGTAGGATCGTCGTTAAGATCAAGAAAAGCCGTCTATATAGAAAATATTTGTTAATAAGTATTCACAATATGTTTATATTTGATTTTCTAAATAATTCCTAATTACCTTGTAAATAGAATAACTCTATTACTTTGTATTCGCTTGATATATTATTAAATTTGTTTCTTTTTTCACCATTATTCTCAAACTCGAAAATTCTTTCAAGTCGTTAAAAAAAATTCCAGTTTGCGATATGCGTTGCGATATGCGTCGTATGTGTTGTTAT